AATTCGTCGATGTGATCTCGTAGGGCATCTTGGGTGTCCTCGAAGATGTTGCCCCTTTGCTCGAGGTCAGGCCACCTGGAGATCACGTTGCACGACTCGTCAATCTCCCAGGAAATTCGGTGCCAGATCCTGCGGCGTCCCAGAACGATGTCCGCCGCCTCGTGGGCAGTGCCGCAGCCGTCGAACACGCTCAGGACCAACCACCACTTGTGCGTTGGCTGTGGGATGGGTGTTCCAGGGCCGATGTACCGGGCCATGCGGTCTTCTGTTTGCTCATGGCCTGCCATGAGTCGTGGGACTTCCATTGGGGCCACTCCCTCTTCCATGGGCGGTCTTGAGATGACTGGGACGCCGTCCAGGATCAGTCCGATCGTACTTGCCGCCTCCTTTGCCCTTGGAAGATGGCTGCCTGGCCTGTGTCTTCTTCGGCAGGGGCTTGGGGAGCTGCAGCTCCTTCACCAGTGCAGCCTGGAGGGCGCCCGTGTCATCCATGAGGGTCTGAGTGCAGTGGGCGAAGGTATGGCCCTGCCTCATCAGCAATGCGATGCGCCAGCCGCCATCGAGCCAGTAGGTTTTCAGCTGCTCTATTTTCCCTGGCCGGGATGATCCATGAGTGTGGGTGGTCCACAAATGTGTCTGTGTTTCACGTGAGACGAATGAGGGCCTCTGGGTCCTGGGGGTCATCAACTCGGAGGTGGCCACGAGATCGGCGGCGAGACGGTGAAAAACCTCCGCGGCCTCGTGGTCTAAAGCTTGGTGTGGCCTGGTAAGTGCACAGCAGCGGTACCTGGGGCCTGGTGGTCTAAAGCTCGGTATGGCCAGATATGATCGGTGATTTCAATGGCCGATACGGTGCGGTTGATTTCACTCGGAAGCGCTGCTGGGTGAAGAGGTTTCGGACTCGTCGGATTGGCGGTCCATCACCTCCGTCTCGGAAGAGGCCCCCGCGGCTTCGGGGGTATCTGGAAAACATTGTCGGCAAGGCTGATCGAGTCGGTCGGACCGGCGGATGCGGGTCAGCCCATACGGCCTTCCACACTTCGTCCGCCACTCGGCCGGGACTGCCCCGTGTTCTCTCGGGTCCGGCAAATGGGATTTGCGAATCACCACGTATTTCGGTGGTGTGTTCAAGCAGGGGACCTTCGCGGCCAGGCTCTCCAGTTTGGTGCGCAGCTCATCGAATTCGCTGTTGCGCACGAACGAGGGTCGTGCTTCTCGGTGGTCTGGTTCGCCCAGAGGCCTGCATGGTCGGAGGAGAGACGCCTCCTGGATGTATCGTTGAATGGCATGAGAGCTCCAGCGGCCAAGGAGGAGGATAGTGTTCGTGTCCATGCGTGTCCAGGAACTGGGCCCGCAGCGAGTGACCGCCAAAGCGTTCCAGCGGGTGCCCGTTGGGGCCAACTCGGGTGGTCTCGGTCCCCGTCAGTTGGACGACGCGTCGGATGGCCTTGATGGTGTCCGCCTTGGATCGCGTGTGGCCGCGACCGTCCGGGAAGAGTGGCGCGCGGTCCGTCATGAGCTCGATCCTATCCAGCCGGCGCCTCAGGGCGTGAACGATGCACAAAGGTTCGGCCTCAGTGGAGCATGAGCACACATGGGACCGTTCGATCATTTCACCTTTCGTGTCAGTCTTGGACACGGGGAGGCTCCAGTGGACTATTGGGCGTTCGGAGGCAGTGTGCTCGAAGCGGATGTGAGAGGCCTTGGCGTTCGCGAGTTCGATCTCTCGCATGAGGAACCAGGAGCCGCTCAGGACCATGATGTAGTCGTCCTCGACGTCCTTGAAGTTGGGGAGTTCCCGGAGCGTCCTCAGCAGTGTGAGGTCGAACGAGTCTTTGAGTTTGGCCGGGCCCAGTCCGCGCTCGATGCTCCTCACGGCATCTTTCATGCTCAGCTCGACCTCCACCGGGATCTCGCCGTGGCGAACGACGTGTTCGCGCCGGGCGGCACTGAAGTAGAGCTTGGCGGACTTGTACCCGCCCGCCTTGAGTGAGGCCCCCACTCGTTCGATGAGTTCCGGGGTTAATGGCCATGGAGGCATGTGCCAAGCTCTGGCGATTGTCTCCCTGCAGGTCTTGACTCTGCTGTTGTGGGGGTGCGAGTTGCTCCTCGCCCAAATGTCTTCCCGGAAGGATTTCAAGGTCTGGTTGGCCTGCGCTGACTCTAGTGCCCTCTTGAGGCTACCCCCTGTGGACGGATTGATCTTGGGAAGGTCTCGACGTGGATCTTCCGGTAAGCCAGCCTGGTGTGGCTCCAGCCAGGTCTTCAAGGGGATCTGCAGCATGGAGGTCTCCTCATCAGTCAGGCCGAGTGTCGACCAGCGGGGTCGTTGAGCTGCCAAAACGGATGGCGAGGTCCAGCCCAGTTCGACCAGAGTGGGAAGGATGCGTGTGATGGCCGCTATCTCGCAGGCCGCTATCACGGTGTCCCACCGATCGGCTAGAGCCACGCTGACGGCTATTGCGGGCGCACAGAGGGTGCGGATCAAACAAAGATGGAGGGGTGTGAGGAGGCGACGATCGACACCAAGTCACCGAATCTAAGTGCTGCACATCTGACGAATGAGCGTCAGTTCAAGTGTCCGTCTCTGACTCAGGTTCCAACACCGACCGACGACGGGCGAGTCTTCATACCAGATTCGGACGACGTGCCAGGCGCAGGTCGTCCGGGTCCTGGGTCGCCAATGCCATCATGGCATCACCAATGGCTGCAACCTGTCGGTTGCGTTTCACAACTGCCGTGCGGCCTATCAGGTGTGCGTCCTCGAGGTAGGCACACAAGGTCTCGAACATAAACTCGATGGGCCAAGCATTGGTCAGATGAGCGCCTCGGCGAAGTCCGCGAGCTGCGTGGACGCTGCGGGCGGCCGTGTCCACCCAGGTCTCCAAGCGGACATTGGTCCAGCCACCGAAGATTTCCATCAAAGGCCGTGGCCGGATCTCGGGTGGGCTGTAGAAGTCGCCCACGTGCTTCGTGAGCCGGATCAGGGAAGGGTGCACCTCATCTCCCGTGTCACGGGCCAATGTGACCGCAGCCATCGTGATGGGCAGGACGCCATTCGTCCGGTTGTCCACGAATTGGCACCTGCTGATGTTCCAAAGGCATGTGAGGATGTCGTACAAACCATCCCACTCGGTGGGATATGTCCTGCCCCATGTCGGCATCCACTTGGCCATCTCCAGTGCCATGGCGTTGGGGCCGGTAGGTTCCACCATTCTCGGTGTCAACCAAAAAAAAATCGAGCCCACTTCTCTGCGGTCGTGGGCTTACCGTGTCACTACGCACACATTCTATGTGCTTCACGACAAAGTGTTCAGTCAGCAAAGTACATCCATGAGACTGGACGGCTGCCAAGCGGCTGTTGTACCCACAGAAGATTTCTATCTGAAAAGATTCTGCCACCAGAATGCTCGCTCACCACACAGAAAACCTCAAGAGTCAAGAGATTGAGATCAACTCAGTTCAGTCACACGTCTAGAGTGTGACCCTCTGAACAATGGCATGCTGAAAGCGGCTGAGCTCTGGACACATGCAATTCGAGCATAATCCAGCCAATACATCCGTTCCTTGCCCCTGCTTTCATTCCCATCCTTGGACCGCGTTGGAAAAACAATAGAAGACAGAGTTTCAGAAGGTTTTGAGCAAGACTCTGTCTTCTCGGTCGGCCGCACATCCTTAGGAGGCCGGGTGGGCGCGTCATACATGCTACAACTTGTAGGAAGAATTTTGCGGACAAAGAAGGAGCAAACGAGCTGCAAACAAAGTCCCAACGAGAACAAGAAACCAGTAACCAGTGCTTTACGAAGTGAAAAGCATCAAAAGTGGTCCCGAGCTTCGGCATAGTCCTCCCGATCGCCATCCAGGGTCGTGCGTAGCGCTAACGTGCCAAGCGCTAGAATCAATGGAAGAGCTATCCGGGAGAAAATGGTCCTCAACCCCAAGCAGTGCAAAGGAATCCATGCCCAAGCCAATTGGTGAATCCGAATCAATGAATCAATTCTCGAAGTGGATTCAGGACAAAGACTTGTGGGTGGGGCAGGTCAAATATGACTGTGAAAGTCTCAGTCTCAGCGGTTGAGTCGTTGATTCCGTGGCCTGGAGTCGTTGTCCAGCTCACCACATCCACAGCGGACGGTGGCCGTGCGGTAGAGATTGTCAATCGTCTCGCTGTTGACCAGTTCCCACAACTGCCAAAGGCACACAACTGCCACACAAAATGTGAACCTTCACAATAAGAAATCAATACAAAAAGAAACAGAATTTGGAGAGAGTCCCTCCCACCCTTCAACTTTTCGTTTACGGCACTCAAGCTTAGCTGCATGGCTCTTCATTACTCATTACTGCTCCCTGTTGGCATGTTTTCCTCCAGCGCACTTCTGACCCCTTCTGACTTCGCTTCTACCCCAGGGTGCTAGTAGCGTCCTTGCTCCTAGTAGCCATGCCAGGGTTGGGTTGAAAAAAGAGTCGTGGGTTAAATTAATGGCCTGCCCATCAGTATCTGGCCTGACATTCTGTCGGGTGAAAGTCTTCCATCGCTTGGACGTTCGCGGACTCTGTACCAGCAGCTTTATGAAACTGCCATGGAATTTACCTAGCTAAACTAAATGAATCCGAAGCAATTGATGCAATGCAATACACTTGGGCCCAGAATGAATAGATGCAAGCCTCAGCCTGCTCAGCCGCTTCAACAATTGCAATAAAGACCTTTTCAACTGCTGTTAATATGCCTTCAAATACCCAAGATCCCCTCGATGACCATGCCCAAAATCTTCGTAAGGCCACTCGGCATCATGTCTTTCACAGAAACTATGCTGGGGTTGGTGTGTCTCGCAAAAGCCACAGGAATTTGAGCATCTTCTCAGCATTGCGCAAATGCAGAGTAACTCACAGGCAATGACAAGCAAGTCAATAGACCACGCAGAAGCCCTTCTAGCAGAGTTACTGTTTACTTCAGCATAGCATCCAGCTTCAATTCAACTGTGCAAGTTACCCATCTCCGCCTGCAGGGAGTTCATGCTACTTCCTGCTCCGTTGGAGGAAAACACATGGAAAACAGTTGTCTACACAGTCCATTTCAAGCTCTTTCACTGCCCATCACAACTTCTAGGGTGGTCCAGCATGTCCGCTTTCGAGAATTGAGCTGATCCTTGCTGGGATGCTGCATATCAAACTGGAAGGCAAGTCCTGTGGACAAGGAGAGGGCACAAATGGCAAGCGCTTGGGCCAAGTGTGGTTGCGATGAGAGTCGCAAAGTTGAACAGAAGAACATGAACCCTACTAGCAACAGCCCTGGTTCTGTGAAGCACACGCTCTTCACTGCATGAATCAACACAAACCAGGCAGCACCTGGGTGGGTGGGTGGGAGAAATCAAAAGGGGCACTGCCCTCAATTTCTACCCAACCCAAGCACCGCTGCTGCTCACACTTAAGCCAAGATCATTCACCTCCAATGGACCAGTGATGTTGCAGAAGGGTTTGGGTGTACACTGGCCATATCCAGTCCCACCCCAGTGTGCACCCCCGATAATCTCAGGAACTTCTTCCAGCTCCCGTATTCATACTGCAAGAAATCACTTGACTCTGGGATGCAAATTCATCACCCCAAACACTTAGACATACATCAACGCAGCTCTGCATCCTTTTTAAGATTTTTGAGAATTGCATTTTCTTGGTCCCTAACCGGGTCGGCTTCCGGAAGACCTGCGTGAAAGAACCTCACTAGGATCGTGCAAACGAACGCGTTGAACCAAGGCTTAAGTCTTATCCACGGGGTCTTCCATCCGACTCGAGTGACACTGAGAACTACACTCAGCAGAGTGCCAGTTCCATCCGTGGGCTGGCTGTAGCTCGAAACTCCGCCAACATTTTTTGTGTTTCGCAGAAATGTTTCAAAGCTGCTATGCCTTTCAGATTTAATGATTTAAGACTGGGGTGATTTGACTTGCCGACAGGAATAGCCATGCCCTGCGAATTGCGACTACAAAACAGCTCGCTAAGACACCTGATTGTCTGCAGCCTTCTTGGGTCCCTCCACCAGCATTCACCGACGTTCAAATCAGAGGCCACAAGCTTTGAAAAGTCACATAAGAGGAAATGAAACACAAACCACCCAACAGTCATGTTTTCAACAAAGCAACGGCCAATGTTCGAACTGGCTCCCTTGAAACTGCTTTTCGCTAGAACGTGCTGCCAGGTCATCCCCTCTCCGCACAACAAAAACTGAAGTCATCAGGAACTCAACGACTGTGATAACTGTGATAGTTCACTCAAGTCTAACAATGGGATGGAGGGCGGAAACAAGCAGCATTCCGAAAAGCTGGGGAACGCGAACGGTAAATGTTGCCGCCAGGACCGAAGTGCTGCACAACAAAGGCGCACAGCAATTGAGCTCCTCAAGCGACGAACATCCGTGTCATAGTAGACTCTCAACATGTAGAACCGTCAGTCAGTTTGCCTGTTTTTAGCTCGCATGTTCATCTGAAAAGTCTGAGGACCTGACATCTGCGTTTGTTCCTGCCTGGTGAGAAGACTTGAACCTCAAGCAGCTTTGTGTCACACTCCAGCGCTGTCACATACTGGAAAGTCAAGTCGGAGAAAGCTTGCCCACAGTGTTTATGTCAATCATTCGGACATTGTTAGTCAATTGCAACGCACTCTCAGGCTGTAGAAGCACCCTGATGCTAAGATGAAGACACCGCCTTAACTTCCAAGCGGTGGGAATTCTGCCTTGGCGATGTTCCTCTTCATGACTGTGCCAAAATGCCGGGGATTTAGTTAGCTTCGACCCTCCAAGTATTGAAACAAGCATCAAACCGCCAGTGGCAGTGACATGATGCACAAATAGGAATGATTGTCCTTTTTGCAAGTCTACGGGCATCAGGCAGGATGTTTCACGCGAACCCCAAGAACGCCATGAACCAGCTCAGCCCACAGTAGTAAGAACCTCTGAGGGCCGAAGCCCACATGGCAGCCGCTTGCTTATTTGTCCCGCAAGCTGCACCTCAGTGCAGCTGACGCGTGAGGAGTGCATGTAACCGCATACAGCGGACATTGTATTGCCAAAAGACACACCACCAAGGCAAAGCTGGTTTGTGATCACCACAGCAAGACAGCAAGACTCGTCACATGCGTTTGAGGATTTGTTCTAAAAAATCTATTCGTTACATCTAGCTTGCAAAACCCAAAGGCCCCGCCGGGGCCCGTGCACTCTAACAACATTTGTTCATTTCGGAGTGTACACCTGAATGTCATGATGTGCCAGTAAAGGTTAAACTTGCCAATCCTTCTGCTTACATTTGCATGCTACTGAGATTTTAAATAAACATTAACATCTTATTTAACGGTGGACGCATAATGCTAGCTGCTGTCGATGGAAGATAGTTGTGCCACTGTGTCTGCAGGAATCCTTGATAAGTGAGCCCCTGGTTTTCCCCTCCTCGATGGCCCTTCGAATGAACTAGCTTCACTTTAATCAAAGCCACAGTTCTAGAAATATTTTGCTTGCCTCTCTCAAAACCCTCTCAAACCACCTCGGACAGGCCCAGTGGGAAGAGCTTGGGTCGTCATCCCTCAGTTGATCCACATGGGACGCATCTTATGCTCACCAAAAGATTCTGTGCGGGACATATGCACACAAGTCACATACATACAAACAAACTGCAACGAGCTAAACATAATCTAAAGTTAGACACGCACCACCTGCGGTGGCTGAGACCCCGTGCTCAGCCGCTGCATCTGAGCAAGTTGGGGAAGGAAGGTAGGGGGTGGCGTTAAATCCTCTGCAACAGCGTTCTTAGATTCTGCAAAGCATCTAGAATCTAGTCTCTTGTGCTAACGGCATCTGGTGGAATGTCAAATCAAAATGCCAAATAAGCTGCCAATTGAGCCAAGTGAGCCAAGCCCAATAGAACTGAGACACCGGCGCTCGCACTCCTTGGATTTGGTACCAGCACCCCGGCCACCACGCCCAGCACCTCCCCTGGTCGCCTGAGAAGAATGGAGCGAATCCGCTCCTTCCCATTCATCCCTTCGGCCCCCCTTCGGCCCTTCAACTGTTCAAAACACGTAATGTTGTTTTTTGCTGTAGAAGAGGGAGGTAGTAGCTAGAGGTAGCTAGTAGTAGTAGCTAGGTAGCTAGTACCTACAAGTAAGCTACACAGGATAGCTCACGCTTCTATTCATTTGGTTCCTAGATTTTCAGGAAAATTTAGCCTTAGGTTCCATTTGCTATTCAATTCAAGTCACGCATTCATGTCGGTGTGTGACTTTGCGCGGCAAGAGTTGAATTCCCAGCGACTCTATAAACGTGAATACTAATGGCATAGGATTGCTGGGTGTTGGTGGATTACACTCCTGAGCTAGCTAATGCCACTTGGATGTTTGTCTTCTGGCCTTGGCGCCAGCAGTAGGTGCCACTTGGTGCTCTTTGACCTGCATCAGGCTGGAGAAACAGAATGCATGAGCATTGTGTGACAATACACTCTTCATGGATCAGCTTGCAGTTTCCAAGCAGCTCTATCAAAGCTCGGCCATTGAACCTAGATGGTAGATAAATGAAGCCGTTGTGCTGCTAGTGTCTCACAACAACTCTAGACTCTGCACTTAAGCTGGGAAGTGCTGCCCTTGAGGGTTTCTTCAAGAGCAGCCAGGCCCCAAGCCAGTGTAAGTATGGATGGCTGGGAAAAGGACTAGGAAGGAAGGTGGCTGGAGGATAGCTGACGGGACATTGCTGGAGGTGATGCTAACTGGCTGAGAGGTAGAAAGAAAGTAAACAGTACAAACACGCAGCTTTTGGTATCAACTGCATTGTCAAGCATCGGGATGGCTTAGCTGCTTAGCTGAGTCAATGCCTTGTGTAGGAAGGATAGCAATGGCCCGTCCCCCCTTCACACACAATAGAACTCTTGGAATGTGAGATAGACATCGATTAACCCAGACAGTGATCCCGGTTAGATTTGGACACCGGCTATGAAAGCGAATCGGCAGGCAAAGTAGGCTTGCAACATATACAAATGCAACAATCCCTTTTTGCATCGTTTCTATATATATATATACATGGATTGAATAAATACAAGTACCTAATTATTCCTGACATGCCTCAGCCCCCCAACCCCCTCGGGATGCCTTTGTTTTTTTCGGCTTCTGTTCCGCAATCACGAAATCAGCGAGCCTTAGTTGCTGGACACCCCGCTTTTGGAGATTTTGAGGCAAGTGCATTCTTCCGGCGCGTGTCGGGCAATGCGCATTCTTGTCTTTGGAAGCCACCTGGGGTTGATCTGAGCTTCTGGCGTGTTGTTCGGCCGTTGTTGCGTCTGAGGTTTCTGTTGATTCTGGCCTCAACAGGGCCCAACGTTGGTAGAGCCGCACGGGGTAGTAGGTCTGACAATGTTCAGCAATTCAAGAGTTTGTGCTTTTACAATTCTATCCTCTGCACTCCAAGACTAATTGCTAATGTAGCTTAATATTGACTTACTGTATATATTATTGTGGCCCGCTTTGCCGAACTACTTGTGACCCTGGATGCCTGCGCCGAAGTCTTTCTCAAACTGCTTCTTCAAGGCTTTGGCCCTGAGGAATGTAGCATGGTCCCGGCCATCTAGTTTGTCAAGCTACACGTCCATCAAAGTGCGCTCTTTTCATCTCAAAAATGCAATCCACTTTCAAGAATCCCAGGCGAGCCTGTATTTACATGACTCAAATGACCTGTGTGAATTACCTTGCCCTCTTGCACATTCAGAAGCGGCAACCACTTCGCAACCACTTCTTGATCGAGAATCTCACCTTTATGAGATGTCTTGGCAATCAATGGGCAAGCTCAACCTAATCAAGAGAGTTTGACATTCAATCAAACTAGGCTCCCGGCAAGGCATCCCAATTCTGCTCATCACTCATTTGTTGAAACCCCTGACCTGCGGCATGATGAGAAGTTCTAGGCAGGAAGGAACGTTAAACTCAATCGAAACATGATGTTCTGTCTCGATATCAATGATTGCGCCCGGCCTGTGTTACAGTAATTTGTAAAGTCAATGTACAAATGGTAGATGGGCAGAATGGTCTCACTCATCGTCTCAGATTCGGCACAATGGCAGACTTGCCATGTTGCACGTGGCAAACTCAACGAGCGAGCGGGTATACAGGTGAAAAGAAATGGTACAATTGAGCCTTTAGAGTGTGTTTCTCAAACAAAAATCCGGTGGGTGTGGCCCTGAAGTGAGACAACGATTAAAAAAGAAGCGTTCCAACAGCTGGGAAGAGAGAATCTCCGCAAGAGAAGAGCTTCAAGGCTTCTCGTCTTCTTGTGACTCGTTGTCTATGCAGAAGCTGCTGTGGTGCCTACTCGGCCTTGTGTAGGAAGAACCCAGTCTGACCCAACTTTAACTTCATGCAGGTACTTTGTGGCTAAGTACTGGTTCCTCAGTTGGAGGAAATGGGGGGGTCACCGAACCGGAAGTGTCACTGCCACTCACCCCACTTTAATCAAGCTACTCTGAGCTCATGCGAGTTAATCGCTGCAGATCCTTGGCTGCGCATCCTGGCAGTGCAGGAAACGCAGGGCTTCGTCGAAACAGTGCGGCATGGAGAGGGCAGGTCCAAAACGCTCTCCGCTGTCTTGGATCTTGCAATGATGTGCAATCCTTTCTCCCTTGACAGCTTGCTGAGTGGTCTAGTGACATGCCTCAGACAGCAAGAGCTGCCACCTGGCAGCTCTTAATGTTCTTTTCGGGCAACAAAAAGAAGCAACGATGTAGATTGCTACGAGCAATGTTGGGTTGCCTCTGCGTTCATCCACAGTCCGCAGTCTATGGAGTGCGTCCCAAATCATTACTACTATTGAGTTTCCCTAAAAGTCTAGGAACCAAATCATTAGTGCGAGCGCTTCTTTAAGGAAGCTTCCCCCGCCGCCTTTAGGTCGGCGGGGGGGAGCTTCCTTGAAGAAGCGTTTGCTATCCTGCGTCCATAAGTAGTAGCTACTTAAGCTAGCTACCTCTTCTGCTAGCTACCTCTAGCGGCCTACCCCCCTAAACAAAAAGGAATCTTGGTAGCGGAAGAGTTGGCGTTTCTGAAAACGAGATGGTGAGTCTGGGGAGTCGGAGGCGAGACATGAGACAAACGAGGCCGAAGGCACTGCTTGACAATCGCTTCTTCAGCTTTCTTGTGGCTTTTAAGAACCTGGTGCGATCCCGGGAGTTTGAATGCTTAAGGGGTTGTAGCAATCATCTTTACTTAGTTTATGAACTCACTTTCTCTGCTCAATCTATCCGCCATCTTGAAGTTCACTCGAAATCTGCGTAGCATCTGGACCCACAGTGTGATACAAGCCCTTGACAATTCTTGCATACGTCAAGCAATCCCCTTGAGCCTCATAGAGGGGCTGTTTTTGCCCACCCTTGCCACCGCGGCCTTGGGCACAATTGTCTCAGAACCAACAGCAATCCTCAAAGAGATGTTATATTGGTTGTTTATGTTTTTTAAAGATTGTTTTGAGGGTGTCAACCTCAAAGTCCAAAATTATCCGCAGTCGTCAAAACCAGGCCAAGTTCACCTCGGCCTTTGTCGGCGCCAAAATGGCTTGGACCTGTGGCCTGGGTCGAACTCTCAGACTCCAAAAACTGTGGGAGAGTGGGCGTTCTTCTCTTCAAGACCTAAAAAGGACCTCAAAAAGGACATGATCTACAATGTCTCAGAGTCTGGCCTCCGGTGCACGGGCACCTTTGCCATCGCCTGGGGGATAGCGCATGTAGGAAAAGTAGACGGTTTTTCATTTGCGTAATTTCACGCAAGAAGCAAGCTGCACAGCATGCAATCTGAACTTGTTCAGTGATCACACTCGTCTCTAGAAGCTGTAAATCACAACAACTCCAGAACTCCCCAACCTTGTTTACACCTGTATAAAACCTTGGCCATCAGGGCTCTGGATGGCTCGACCTATGTTCAGACTAGTCGGCTAGTCGGCTAGATCTGGTCTCTGCCTGGCGGGAAGCCATGCGTACTCCGATCCTGGCAGAGAGTTTCCAGTCAAAGCTCAAGCGCTCTTGCGCCGAAAAAAAAATGATCAAGTTGCTGAAGCATCCAGATCCTCGAGCATCGTCATGAATTTGGCTGCAGTTCTACAACTTGGTAAAGGCCGCTTTAGCAGTTCCACAATTTGCAAACAGCCCTCAGCCCATCCCGATCAACAGTAGCCGCTAGCCTGTCTGCTTGACAGGTTCGCGGACTCCTGAAGCCACCAGCTTCAGGCGAAGGCAACAAAACATATGATTTGCATTGAGACTTGAAACTTCAGTGACCATTGAAACCAAGCATTTTCGAACCAACCGATGGCTCAAACATGCTCAAACATGCTCAAACACTCTATCGCTCCTTCTCCATCGCACCAGGTGGTCGGGGGCCGAGCCTCAGCACTCCCACCTCTTGCCTTGTGTATCAGGTTTAAGAGTCTTGAAGTCCTCGCAACCTGCAAAAACTCTGGGATTCTCTGGGTATACATATATATATATATATCTTTCAGCCTCAATCCATCAGCAGTTCCACCTCCTGAGATCACCAACCCGCTGCCCTTGACTTCCTCGCGAGGAGGGCCTCACAGGTAGTCACGGGGAACTTCCGACCGGGCACCACCAGGGCCCCAGGTCGCAAAAATTCAGCGAGTGAAGATCCCTAGTCACGTCCTTGTTCCTAGTAGCGATGCCAGGAGCCCCTAGTAGCTTCTTGTTCCTCTCCCCAGGCGACTGCTCCATCGCAAGCGAGAACCTTGTGTGAATCCTGGCCTCGGGGCGGCGAAGCGTCGCGGTATTCGCGTTCCGAATAACCAGGTGGTGGATGCCGCAGGTTCCTGCGAAGGGTCCGCTTTGAACGGCGAAAACGATGAAAACGATGAAAACCACAGCAGGCGCACGCATCGTGGGATTGTCTGCCCTGCGCAGGTGCGTCTATACGAACCTGCATCGGTCGCGTCATGGCCAATCAAAGAGTGAGTACGTGAAACAAAGCCTTCTGCTGTGCGGTTTCAACTAGGCTTATATAACCTATATCACTCTACCACGCACAGCCACACTTGCCAAATCACGCGGGGTCGCCTGACCATAGGACTTCTCAACCGCAGGCCGGCTCGCTGAGCTGGACAGGTAGCCTCGATGCAAAATGGAAGTCTCTTCCACTTTCCACAGGGACACTCTGCTGGACTTGACAGGTCCCTTCCGGCCATTCCATGTGAGGTATGAAGCAAGTTCCAGATTCCCAGATTCTGCGAGATTCTGTAGAAAGCTACAGTACAAGATTTCCATTTGGACAAAATCTGACAGACCCATGCTTTGACACACAAAGATGGCCTAGACTCAGGCTCAGGCCACCCATATCAAGGTCATTGCCTATCAAACCTAAGGACCAAAGCTGTTGCGTTACGTTTATATAACGTTTAACCCTCAACCTGCGCATGAACAGCTTCGAACAAAAGCCTTCGCATTCTCATGCTCACGCTAGACCAGCTGTGGGCCTTGTTGTGCTGCCCCGTGATTGGGTGGAGCATAGCCATTCCTGCTATGGAACAGTGTGCTCGCAAGTCTGCTATAGAACAGTAAGCTCCATAGCGCTCACAGGTTCATGGGACGAAAGGATGCTCTAGGTTGCAGTCCTGCTGATGCTCGAAGGGGGAGCTTGCCGATATGCAGCAGCACCTCGGCAGGTTGCCAATGCAGCTCAAAACGCCACAAGCATCAAAGTCTGAATCGAGAAGCGTGTGAAGACTTCGCAGGTTTCATGGCTGTCATGGTTTGCTCATGATGGCACAGGGATGAGCGCAGTTGGATTGGTGCAATAAGAACCATGGTCAAGCTCTGAGACCCTGTGCTGGAAGTGAGGTTGCTTAGACCTGGACAAAGAGCCCAAAAGTATGGGGATTGAAAGGCACAATCCGGCAACTCTTCAAACACCTTGGGCCCTGACCATCATTGGGTCGCATAGACTGATACACGCCAGGGCCAGTATCCTTGGAATCTAGAACATGGCCCTACCTTTGACTTTACTTACCATGGACCACAAGCTCAAAGGTAATGGCCATGTGCATAGGCCATGCAAACTCAGGCGACCGAGCATACTCAATGCTGTGCTTGTTGTAGGAGGTCTGGTGGCCTCTCACAAAACGCTCTTCAAAACCCTCTTCTAAACCTTCGAAAAAATGAAAAAAGTGCATCAGGAAGGAAAACCTTCGAAGGTATGCCCTCTAGGATAATGGCGCCTCCATTCCAACTGCTCATGCCCATGTAGCCCTCCGTCCGGCTTGGTGGTTGCCCATAGCCAGGTGTGGCCGGAGGCCTGAGAAGAATCATCAAACGCACAGTGGTGTAAAACTGGAGTAATCGAAACAACTTAGCTTGGAAGCTCGGACATGGTTCAAGGATGGAAGCTGCAAACGTGTTTTTTCTTCCTTTGTTTTTTGTTGTGTTTGTTTGTCCTTTTTTTTGCCCGTGGCCCTGCCTCCTTACTTAATTAAGTAAGGGAGTAAGCTTCTAGTTTCTTAAGCTTCTACCTACTGGACGCAGGATAACTCACGCACTAATGATTTGGTTCCTAGATTTTTAGGAGACACATTCGTACAAAGCACACTCATCATGCAGTACGGGTGAGCATGCCTGGCTTGCACGTCGTGCGATGGTAATCCCTGGAGTACCGTGAGGTCCTTCAGGTCTTTCCCTGCACCGAAGGACGGTGCCGGAAACGCGCCATAGGTCTTTCACGGCCATCGGATGCAAGCCATGGAGTCAATGTCTCTGCGAAACGAACACATTCCACCTCCGGGAACGACTTCCTCTGCCCTCACTTCTGCATCAACACTGACATCACGAAGATAAGTACTCATTCGGTAGTTCAGTATCTCACCCTACAAGGTTTGTGTATGTTTCTTCTCAGGTTTCCAGAGCAACTCAGCCCCGTGTCAGAGAAGGTGCAGGAGTCATTGTTCAAGTCTAGTACAACACCATCTGAGGTCATACCAATGTTTGCCTATCACATGCAAAGAAGAGACAAACATCCTGCTTGGCCAATGACCTTCCAAGAAGTGTACCTAAATGCGCGGACCTAAGTGCGCGCCTCGGAAGATGATGAAGTCGTAGATTTCATTTGACATCGGAACTTCATGTTGCCTGAGAAGTGCTCGACTAACAAGACACTTTGTTGGTGAACACAGAGAAAGCCACATGCGTGCACCCTGCATCATCCTACTTCCACGTTGGATTAATACCACAGCGAAAACATCTCCTCTGCAAGCTGACCAGACCCAAAACTGTGAGCGGCAAGCGACCGGCCGGTTCCACTTCAACCAACTCAACTCGACACAAGAAGTAATCGATGGTAAAGAAGTTCTAGAAGAGAAACTTCACAGACTTGGAAACATAACATACATCAACACTTGGCGTAAGAACATCTCAAAAGGGTTGGAGGCCATCGCTAGTGGGTTGGAGGCCATCCCAAATAGGTTGGAGCCAGTATGTTGGAGGCCGTTGCTAGTAGGTTGGAGGCCATCGCAAGTAGGTTGGAGGCCATCCCCAGTAGGTTGGAGGCCATCGCCGGTAGGTTGGAGGCCGTTGCTATTGTTGCTATAAGGTTGGAGACTATTGCTGTTAAGTTGGAGGCCATTGCTATTAGGTTGAAGACCGTTGCTATTAGGTTGGAGACCATTGCTATTAGGATGGAGGCCATTGCTATTAGGTTGGAGGCCACTGCTATTACGTTGGAGGCCATTGCTATTACGTTGGAGGCCATTGCTATTAGGTTGGAGGCCACTGCTATTAGGTTGGACGCCATTGCTAGTAGGTTGGAGGCCATTGCTATTAGGTTCGAGGCCATTGCTATTTGGAGACCATTGCTAGCCATTGCTAGTAGGTTGCAGGCCATTGCTAGTAGGTTGGAGGCCACTGTTATTAGGTTGGAGGCCACTGCTATTCGGTTGGAGGCCATTGCTATTAGGTTGGAGGCCATTGCTATTAGGTTGGAGGCCATTGCTATTAGGTTGGAGACCATTGCGATTAGGTTGGAGGCCATTGCCATTAGGTTGGAGGCCATTGCTATTAGGTTGGAGACCATTGCTATTAGGTTGGAGACCATT